GCTGGCTGGCACTGAGTATGAACGTTTTGAAAACCAGAGTGGATTTTAGCCGGGTAAGCTTTGAATCGCGGGATGGGGTCGGAGATATCCTGTTTATCTATGCAAGGCGCTATCTAATCGTAACTGCCGTCAGGATCACCCAATTCAGAATGTACACTCGATTTTCGCGATGCTGCTGAGGTCATTTACAGGATAATCGAAGTCGCCACTCCACAGGTATCATGCTGGAAGCCAACGGACAGTGGTTAGTCAGTGAGAAGGACGCTTTTACTGCACAACCTAGCAATATCAACAAATGTAATCTATCTGGTTGGGGAGCGGGTGGCAGCCATCAATTACGGTTGAAGACTCTTATAGGACAACCCTAAGCAACAAAGCTTTCATAACTCCAATCAGTAGTACTTTAACAATTGCCAGTCTTCCAGGTTCTGCTTTCTTTTTTTCTCCGTGGCAGCCACTCAAAGGACACCAAGAGATTCAGTCGAATTAAATACAACGGTGATCACCACTGCAGCGATGAGTAGGGTGAGTGAGTGTGGGCTCACCTGATATGTGATGCTGTGAGCTCCATTCGTTGTAGGTGCCAATAGCCATTGGAGGTAGGTGTTCCGATGAGAGCTCTTCTGGTTTTGGCTACTTCTGGATTAATAATTTTTGCGTCACTGTCCGTCTAGGCCACACCAGTTTTCTCACTTGATTCCTGTTCAAGGCCAGATATTCGGTACGACAGCTGCTGCTGCTGATATTTTATAAGCGCACACGGTCGCCTCTCGGAGTGCGCTTTTCGCGAGGTACACAGTGCACTCCTCCCACGTCATGTCACGGTGATAACCTGACGTGAAGCTCATGCGCATGTCTTCAGGCAAACTACATTCCCACGACAAACATTTAATGTGCTTGGAATATTCGACGTATCAGCGTACTTCCCATCAAATGCTATGACCGCGAGTTAATGTGACCCATTTTCACTTGTACTCAGGTAGATTAAGATAGGTTTTACGTCAGCAGCTGTGAAATCAGCCTTCAGATTTATTGCCCAAGTTTTCAAGTTTCGTCTGCAGACAGCGGAACTGCTTCTTGATGATCTGCATCAAGTATTATGTGAAACTATTAGGAGCTGCCCTTCCCTTACGAAGGAATTTTGTCTGTTTCGTCTTCTAAAGGTTAGTTATTCATTTTGGTAGTTATCAGTGAAACTACCAGTGGGTCTCGCGTTGCTCTCTGAACACGTATTCGATGAGCGCGCCCCATAGTTTGCTGACAACGATCGTCTGGCATCACCAAACCGTACTGTCCACGAAAAGACTTGCTCATCACATAATGGTGGAGATGTAAGCATGTGAGGGAGACACCACCAAAAGGGCTAACATCTGACGTACGCTGCGAGCAAAGCGGTGGATCCCAAGCAAAATAACACGACTAAACATATCCATAGAGACTCCATCATGTGCCGATTGGAGGGCTCTTCTTTCGAAGCACTTCAGGGTGCTGTCTCCTACGGCATCCCAACGGATTGGAAACGTTAGGAGCAATCCAGAAATACGGAAACACCAGAATTCCGTGTTCCAATGAACCGTACGGCCCGAGAGCAACCACAGCACTCAATAAACGAAAATAACACAAAGGACGAGCCAGTGTTGGTTGCTACGGCAGTGAGAATTTCATCCATTTAAATACTGACTGGTCAAACAGGCAACCGGTTTCAATTTTCCGGTTGGTTGTGTGCATCATCTGTTGCCCGGGGGCAAGTACATTGAGCACTGGTGCCCTAGAGTGCTTGCCTACGGTCCTGGAATACTTGGCGCTAAGGCGTCAGGACTAGCTGTTCGTGAAAACCCGCATCGTCTCATATCACTTGCAATAGCCATCTGGAACGAAGATGAGTTGAACGAGCCCCTAACGAATGTGGCGATAGCCAAAAGTGGCATATTGTCGAACATCTAGTCGGTCGTTCTTTCAAAGAAAGAGTGATGTGACAGATGTGCATTCGCTGAGTTCCGCCTTCAGTCCTTTCACAGTGCTATCTACATGGTTCAACGGTTTGGTTGTCCTGACCCAAATGTGAAAGCTACTTTTCATTGGTTGGGCATGCTTCAGGTGACCTGTTCATTTCACCCAAACACCCGGGGATTAGGTAGAGTCCTTAGAAGGTTACGTCATTTCACCTGTGCAAATTGACGCATTCCATATGAATGAGGTGTACACGTTTCGTGCGTTGGTAAGAACAAAGGTGCTTTGGTCAACAATGTAGTCGGCGTGCGATTGCTATTGCTTTGTGTGAATTAATGCATGTAGAAAAAGGAGGATAAGAAGACCAGACCAAAGGATATTTTTAGTAAAAAAATGCTGATAGGTTGGCAGTCTGTTGACCATCCGGGCAGCCACACTTTGATACTTCAGGTTCGATCCGCCTGTCTACAAACTACAGTAAGGTTTTGGATTTTTAGTTTTTTTTTTCATTTGCAAATTAATCCTATGTGAATCTCCTAGACGTCTACGGTCAGTCTCCTCTCAAATCGGAATCCTGAATAATTTCGCCCACTGTGGTCGAAGATTCGAGTGCCAAAAAACTCGGTGTATTAATGCTCTTTTTCCACCCTTAGCCCACTAAGCCAAAGTCTCAAAAAATGCTCAGACTTTTCGAATTCATTTGTATGCGATACAGTAAGGTTTGGATTTTCAGTTTTTTTTCATTTGCAAATTAATCCTATGTGAATCTCCTAGACGTCTACGGTCAGTCTCCTCTCAAATCGGAATCCTGAATAATTTCGCCCACTGTGGTCGAAGATTCGAGTGCCAAAAAACTCGGTGTATTAATGCTCTTTTTCCACCCTTAGCCCACTAAGCCAAAGTCTCAAAAAATGCTCAGACTTTTCGAATTCATTTGTATGCGATACACTGTAGCTTTACCCAAACCGATTAACAGTTGCGTTATTCTAACCAAGAAGCAAGTTCACTGGCTTGGTCCTCAGTCATCCTTTTACGACATACTTCACTAGGACTTACGTGGGATCACATCCTTCGAGTGAAAATGGAAACTAGGGGATCTAAATCGAACAAGCTGCCTAACTATGGGTAAGGCTACATAAACAGGTCAGCTTTGACCAGCAATTCAACGACTGTCGACTAAATAACGCGAAAATTGAGGTGGTTACCTAGTTGAGGGCTACTTAACCTGGCCACCAGCGCATTTTCAAGGGTTTGAGGCCGTAAAGTTGCCACCCCCACTTTGTATATGTATCAAGGCCCAACTAACCAGACGTATGTTGTTGTCTGTTCATCATGGCAGATCGACATTCTGCATGGTTAACATGCGAGCTCGAGATAGCTCACTGTTAAAGGCTCCAGCTTACGGACCAAAAGGTCCGCGGTTTGAGTACAACCACATCGCCTCGACTGCATCTGTGTAAGAATGGACAACCTGGCAGTGTCCCAGGCCTCGTTCCTTCTTTTCTTGGCATGGCAACTAGGTACTGAACAATACCGAACGGTATAGTTGAACGACTGATGCTTAAGATGTGGAGTCTTAACCGATTATACACTCACGTCCGTGTAGACAGAGCGACATCTAAGAATATGAATCATTGATTCCCACTTTGTGCTTGCTGTTTTACACATGTTTCTTTTTTCGCCACAATAACATAGCGGGCCAAGGAGGTGGCAGAATAAATTTTTGAATTAAATGTAATGGGACCAGTACCTTGTGAAGGGTGCTAGAAAAGGTAGAAAGTTAATCCAGTCGATAGGCTGGGAATAGGACTGAAATCATCACTACTGTAAATTGATTTAGGCAAAATTGGCTCGTGTCTTCTCGTTACCTCGGTGGTGAAACTCATCTGGCCTAACTGAGAGCTGCTGGAACTCGGGCTATTGAATAGGTATCGGTGTTCAAACTGGGCTGCAAAGCAAATGGGCAGAAGGACGTTTCATACAGTAAACCAAAATAGCTACATTAGGCAAGTCCAGTTTCCTGTCTTACCTTTTTTGATGTTTTGAGGTTCCGCTGAAGTTGCAGTGGGAGAGAGGTTAACATTAGTCCAAATATCCCATTTTGGAATTCCGTCCACAAACTCGTTTACAAGTGTGCCACTTCTTAGTTTTTGTTTCTGGTATGACTAGAGTGCTTTCGGGGCCCGATTTTATTCATTTCTTAATAGTCGTTTCAAAGAAACGAAGTGCACTATTCAATATAGAGTTTACGAGATAATGTACTATAAATGTACATATGCCCAAAACATTGTGGATAGTTCGACTTCTCTACACAAACATTTGACTTACCAAGTTCTTTGATTTTAATAGTGCTGATTCGAATACCAATTTTCGAGAAAATAAAGGACATTCAGGTGCGGTGAAGAATATCGGATCATGTTTTGCCGAACATAAAAGGATCCAAAACGGGCCTTAAATTGTCCACATATTAGATGAGTGTTCATCAAGTTTCATTTCACAAACGAGCGATTTTACGAGGATGTTAAATAAGAAGTAACAATGAGCTGTGTACGTTCAAGGGTCTACAACTGTGAATGTGCAGCTTCGCTAAACAAATAGGTGAGTGCCAGGCCCTCTACGGTGAATTAACTCAGATGTTTGAATTGAATTGTCAAAATCCGAGTAGAAGATAGCCTTAATTGTACCGAGATCATATATGCAGTTAAGCTGATATTTCGGTTAAACCAGTAATGCCTGCAGGTCAGTAAACGGTTTAGTCTTTTTTGGTGCGACACCCTGCTTACAAGATCATTGAAAACTCATCGAAAGCTCATTGCCGATTTCACCCTTCTTCAGACCGAGGAAAGTAGTGTCCTGACATAAAAAATATTTAGGATCTTGGATATCCTTCGAACTGAAAAATAAAACGGTCTTTGAGAAGCGTACGCATTTGAGGAAGACCATGAATTAGAGATTTGCCTGGCCTTCATCTAAATTTCCTGTTGATAACTAGTAAAATTTATAAATGACGTCATTTTCGTCACTTTTATCCACTTGTCTGAAAAACTTACACATTTTAACGTCCTCTTTGTCTTCATCTGTGTTTGGACAAAGGGGGTGCCGATCAATGGCTCGGTCAACAATTCGCTTCAGGGCTTCGCGTGTGAGAACATAACCAGAGCCACCGGAAAAATAGCCACCTGGACAGAGAGTCTGTTGCGAAGAAAAAATGAAGGAGACTGATCGGCAACTAAGGTTTCTCAAAGCCTTAATTAGAACAAGGTGTCTCATAATAAACGCAACAAATAATACCCACGTTCAAATTTTAACATTAATTCAAACATTTATCATATTTTTGTGAATATAAATACATTATGGCAGTTTACTGTTAACAAACTGGCATTACAAAAGATGTCGAAAAAAACCGCATATTTCTTCTATAATAAGTTGGAGGCGGTATAAGATGTGAGACACCAGCACGTTTAACTTCTTCAAGCGTCACTCGTGCACACTCCTCTTCAATTCTTGCTCTCAACTCCACCAAATTCTTCGGTTTACTTTCATGACATACGCGAGCCTTACTCAATCCCGAAAACCAATAATCCAGAGGTGTGAGATCGGGTGACTTTGCGGGTCAAAAGTTTGGAACTCTACGAGCAATGACTCTGTCATCAGAAAATTGCTCTCGGAGGTAGGTTCTCACTTGGTTTGAGTAGAGGGGTGGAGCGCCATCTTGTTGAAAGACGGTCGATAACTTCATGTGCTACCTGAGTTGCGGGATAACGTGCGTCTGCAGCATATGGAGGTAACTGTCGCCGGGAACCGTAGGATCAAAGAAACAGGGACGCAGGAAACACTTTGAGGAGACTCCCATCTACACACAGAGATGGGGGGAATAGAGATTAGGGGTGAGGTACTCGTAAGCAGCTTCAGGGGACCATATCACGCAGTTGTGCCTGTTGATTATGCCATCCACATCGCTCCATAAAATGTTGGGAACGATTTCTTCATTGTCCAGTAGCCAGTTACCGAACGTGACACGTTGCTCCTTGTCTTCTTCCGTGATGTTTTGTAATAAAGTGAAATGATACGGGTAGAGATGAAGATGGTGTCTCCTAATACGAGGCACGCTGGCGCAGGGAATGCCGGTCAACTGTGACACCTGAGTTATTGACGAAGATGCCATGGTGCTCTGGGACTGAAGTTTCTCGACGGCATTCTCTACAGCAGGCACTCATTCAGGGACTTTCTCCCTTTGCCAGGAAAGTCCAATACAGATCCAGTGGACTCAAATTTCACAATCAAGCGTGTAATGGTCGACATGGTGTAAGGATCTCTGATGAGATCATGTTTAGTGTTTTAACCACGAAGTGCAGCGGTGGTGTTTTCACCAAGGGAATAATAGAGTCTCACAATTTCAATGCGCGTAATGACATCCATCGTAAAGAAAAAAATATATCAACATTTGCATAAAACCTCCTATATGCTGCTACTGATAATGAAAAATTTTGTTATCTTTTCTCTATTGACTACGTTGACTTACCCAATCAAATTTTGCGTTTATTATGAGACACTGTGTAGATATGCAAGTGAAATGTTTCGTCTTCTCCCAAAATCTCAGTTTAATTATACCTGAATATGGCATGAGCACCATCCAACTCTCTAACGTTTGCCACTAAAATAACCGGTTCTGGTCGCAAATTCTTGTTTTATCCTAGATAAAATAAGACAGAAGTTTCCTGAATTCATTTTGTGGGCACATTTATTCGCCCTATTTCTGGAACCTGTCAACACCCTGCTCAGGCGAAAAGCCTCTGGAGGCTGGAAAGCGTTGTGTATAGTCAATGTGAGGGAAATGTTGATTTCTCGTATGGGTAGAATATACTGGGTCTTCGAAATCAGTCCAACAAGCATTCTGCTCTGATTGAGAATATACGGGTAAAGTAGCGGGATCACTTGAGGTTTGGCCGATAGTTTTGATTGTTTCCAAAGGTCACATGTGTACCATTGACATGCGTGAAATAAAACGACCATAGGGTAATTTAACCAGAAGATTCGATTTACTAGATTTAGTCGAATCCAACTTTCAGAGCGGTTGAATAAGCGGGCTGAATGCGTAAACATTAACCAGTCTGATTCATCATTTGAGTTTTCTCAAACTAAAGAGACAATTTTACCCTTTGGAACTCTACGGAGGCCCGAATTTCGCACGACATTTTGTTTCTCTCTGGGGCAATAAAAATGTCTACACACTCGATTATGGAAGAAAACTTGCTTTGAGTTCTAACTGGAAGCAGACGGACTGATTTTTTCACCAGAATACGTCACATTACGCTCGGGCAATAAGTCGACCAACCTCGTTAGGTTTCAAGGCGTGGTCTTGCACCAACAGAGTGTCAGGGATTCTTGATTTTCATCTTTCGTAAACGGGCCTCTTTCTTTATCTGCGCCCTATTGCGCACCACGCACGCGAAATGTGGCTACGTGACAGAAGCTGTTTTACAATTCACAATGTGGCCTGGTGACTGCCGTCCTCGCTGCATGAAAGAATGTCGTGCACGTCCTGTAGAGCGAGATTCATCTTACCTTTCGTTACCAATCCACATAGGATTAGAGGCCATCGAAGTAGACGAAAGAAAAACACTAATAATTTGTGGAAAATAATGGTCACATGGTCACAGGCCACAAAATGTGCTAAAGACGACTATCTCAGTTTTTTAAAATAATATTCTCGGAGTAGGCTTATGTTATTCTATAGAGGAAAATGTTGGTAGCTCAGGTATCGTAGATGGTAGTCGTTGGCTTGTTCGCTGAGCTGGGCAATTTGATTGCAAACGTTTCATCACCAATCGAGGTGACATCATCAGTGCGTTTTTGTGGAGCGTAGTAGTGCGTAGCGGTGGGTTAGTGGTTGTGCACAACCAGTCAAGCAAATTGCCCAGCTCAGCGAACAAGCCAACGACCACCAGGCTTATGTTAGCGATTAGCTTCCTGTGCCGGAATCTTGTTCGAAAACCTGATGGTTTTTAATAGACTTCCATGTAGTATTGTGGTTGCACACTTAACTATTTTTTAAGGTGTGATATCCCTAACTTTTTTTTACGTGGATCAGACTCTTTCTTAACACAAAGGTAGTAGGTAAGGCTTCACGAAATCTGATATTTCACATACGTTCACATCAGGACTGAGCTCACTAAGGGGCCTATACTCGGCATCCTACTTTGCCGTGACAACGTTATTACCGACTGAATGCAGGAAGTTGTAGGGAAGGAATTAGTTGCCATTAGATGCATGATTTTTTCCTCATTAAGTTTATGTTCATTTAGCGCTCTTCTAATAACACCCTGAAAACAAGGCAAACACCTAAAATCCATACTGGCAACTTCGAACAGAAAATGTGGCAAAACACTAGCAGGTCTTCATTGCTGTGGTCTCGAAGAGTGTAAAACGTTTTACTGGACAATTCTGTCTGGACTTGGGTACCCTGGCAATACCTCTGCACACGCACAATCATGAATCGCCTAATTAAGAACGACTTAATGTCACCTCCGTTGTCGACTGGTGCCGTTTGTCGCGTTGTCTTACTGGCAAGACGAGTAATCGAAAATGGACTACTTCTGACGCCTCCATTTTTAGCTTTCCAGTATGCGTTTCCCCCCTCCTTAATCCGTTTTCACCGACATCTCTGTAGGCCCATTCTAATGGAGTGACAGAGTAGCTGCCATCCATTGCTGGTAACTAAAATATGTCGACCGCCACGGTTGTAGACACTTCGAAATCATCCTTCAGAGCTTAAGGCTCAGTTCATCTGGCAGTCTCCAAGTTCGTACTTTGCAACAAGCAAAACAACAGACTGCTCTTGCATGTACACTGGACTCACTTCATATTGATGTATACTGTTTCTCTGATGTGAGGATTCAAGACTAAAGTGCGGTTGTTGACCTGGTCTGCTCATGGGTTTCCGCTCGCTTCCGGTTGCGCAAATCTGGTGATCCAGAGGTCGCTGTGACCGGTGCTGCTGGGGTTAGTATTAATTAAAAATCAAGGAGCTGGAAGATTTGTGCTTGATTGATTTACCGTTGGTACAGGCCAGTCTAAGGTTTGTTTATCAGGGTCTGTGAGAATATCCCGTAGGTGTTGTATCTGTTTAGGACTCAAGAGACTATGGTTTTGCCTTCTCTCTGCAATGAGTGCTTTATTACGGCAAGCCAATGGTTCTGATAGTGTTGGGATTTTAGAGGTTATGCTTGCGCATGTAGGTGGACTTGCATTAGTGAGGCACAATTGGGCGGCTGTCAAGTGCGTTATACGGCAAACCAATGGCTCTGATAGTGTTGAGATTTTAGAGGCTATGCGTGCGCATGTAGGTGGACTTGCATTAGTGAGGCACAATTGGGCGGCTGTCATGGACTAGGACAGAGACCCACAGACAACAGTGAAGGCCTGCTGCAGTTATGTGCTGACCACAAAGGTCACTCGGCCACATCGTGCCTCCTCGCAGGCAAGCCACTTCTAACACAGGTAGACCGTATCGCTGTTAGCTATAAGGAGGTGAGTCAGTTGTTGATTACCGGCTGCTGTGGAACACTCGTAGATTCAGATCACGCACTTTTGGTTGCCACTCCTCTTTGGGCTTCTCAGGGACGCCCAAGATGTACACATATCGCTTGGCTTTTGAGAAGCACTAGGACTGCATTGTGAAGAAAACCTACCGAAATCACCCTCCAAAGTCTATTTCAGAAAAATGCCTTCTCATGTTGACTCCTACTGGAACCTGTCGAGACACTGGAAGCTCCACCTGAGAAACGGCACAACCAACTGCATTTAGGCACTTGAAGCTCGGGCATGTATGCCTCATGGTTAAAAGTACAGGCAAACTCGACAAACTGCCAGACGTTGGGCGATAAAAACCTCTGAGCTGGCGGAGAAGACTGATGAGTCACGAAATTTGAAGGGATGAAGGGGGCGAGAAATTCTGGGCATATAAGAAACCTATTCCTACAGTGAACTCAACCAGTCCCAAAACAACAACAGGGGGAGAAATGATCACTGATAACGGTGGCTTACTCACCTTTGAAAGAGCAGAACGCCTGGATCATTATGCCGAACATATTCAACAACAGTTCAGCTGGACATCAACACTTGCTCACTAAGATTTCCGGTCCACAACGGAGCCCTGGACCATAAACTTGGAACTCCCTACTGACTTGGAA